CACCTCCTCTTCTGCTAAATTACTCCAATGCGAACGCGGCCTTAGCAAGGCGTTCACGAAGCACAGATTAGCATATCTACACAATCGTGTCTCTTACTTTGCGACCACATAGAACAGAATCGCCTCAACCCCAAATAAGCTTATGTGATAGCGGATGATCGTATGCGATCGCGTATAAGGAAACCAGAAGAAAAATACCAGCAGTTATCAGCCATCTACCATAGGCCAAAAATGATCCATTAACCACCTAAAACTCACCCGAGGCCATCGGGACCTCAACCAAACATACACCAACAAGTCCCAAAATATCATATGAACTTAGTCGGACCCTCAAATCACCTCAAATAACATTAAAAACACAAAATTCATACGGATTCAAGCCTAATGAACTTTGAAATTTCTAAATTCTACAAACGACATCAAAACCTATCAAACCACGACCGATTGAGCTCAAATTTTGCACAAAAGTAATAAATAACAACATGAACCTTCCAATTCCCGGAAATCAAATTCGACCCCGATATCAAAATTTCCACTGCCGGTCAAATTCACCAAAATTTCAACTTTCACCAATTCAAGCCTAATTCTACTACGGACCTCCAAATCACAATTCGAATGCGCTTCTAAGTCCAGACTCACCTAACAGAGCTAACAGAACCATCAAAATTTAAATCCGAGGTCGTTTACACATAAGTCGACATCCGATCGACTTTTCCAACTTAAGCTTTCAATTAAGAGATTATGTGTCTCAATTCATTTCGAATTCACTTCGGACCCGAACTAACCAACTTAATAAGTTAAAATACAGTTGTAAAATACAAAAGAAACAGGAAATGGGGGGAATAGGACTACAACTCTTGAAACAACCGAAATTAACTAAAGATCATCATGAGATGAGAGCCGAAAATAAAAAGCGAATTCTCTGTCTCTTTGGAGAGTGAATGTGCTGATTTTTACGTGTGTGTGTGTGAGGAGTATCATCTCCCTTATATAGAGTGTAGGTGTGCAATATATATGAAATGAAAGAGAATAAAGGAATCTGCCAGCATTCTCTTAAAATTAAGAAAATAACATCTTTTGTAACCATAAATGGACAGTTGTTCCTGTTTCCAGATATTTCTTTTATTTCGTAACCCATAGCTTCTGAAAATCACTTTTTACCCCAAAATCTGACATAATTCTTTCACTTTTATTGCATTTCCACCCCTCTTCTAGAGATTTTCTGAGTAACCACTCGGATTCCCTAATTTCTCTATCTCATTTGCTCCCCCCCTAAAGTTTTTGTTTATTACCAAACCAACCCAAGAGAATTACATGGATTATGACCAAAAAAAGATATGAAAAAACCACCAACTATTTGATAAATAAACCTGCCTCAATGTCTAATTAATTCACAATTAATTAAATAGACAACTTATGCAATTAAACCAATAATCCTAAAATTAAACTACGAATTAATAAAACAATTCAAACATGCCAACAGAAATTAACTAAACTTGTTTTCAATAATAAAGAAAAACAAACCATTAATTACCTCAAATGATCATGCAATTGAAATAAAAATTAAGTCATACAAACACATAATCAAATTAAATCCTAATATACTAAAAGGTAAAAGAAAACAGATTAACACTTATGAAGCATAAAAAATAGAAGATTACCTAAATATAGAGGTAGACTCGGCAAATCCAAATTTCTTCGAAATGGACCAAAAATGACGCTAATCAATTGTTCTCGCTGGGAATAATCAACTAGCATAGGTTTCAGTCAAATCGAGTCTTGAAATTTCAACCAAATTGAAAGAGGGAGGTACTAGGGTTTCTTTTTTTCTTTTTAGATCCAAAATCGGAGGAGTTTGGTGGGTTTTTGAGGAAAATTGATGGTAGATTAATGACGATGATAAGGTGAGGAGTATAAGGTGATATTTTGGATGGATTTGGTGACTTTTTGCCGCCATGGGTTAATCAATATTGTGCACATAGGAAGCAATGAGCAACCAACTGACATTTTAACAAAGGCATTAGGACACCAACAACATGCAATTCTGGTCTCCAAGTTGGGAATGAAAAACATTTTTCATTCTCAACTTGAGGGAGAGTGTAGAAATTATTAGCTTAGTATAGTTCTACTTAAAGCTATTTAACTAGTATTGTTCTAGAAGGTGTAGATAAATAGTTAGTTGATAGTTAAGTGTAGAATGTCGGTTAATTTGTTATATTAGGTGTGTACAGTATTTTCATTTTATCTGTTAAGAAAATAAGCTGAACAGTTTCTATCTCTATCTCTTCTCTTCTTCTTCTCTCTTTATCTCTGTTCTCGATCCATATAAGAAGCTCAGACATGGCAGACTAGGCTTGATTTGAGCAGTTCATGTGCCCCATGATTTAAGCTATGAATCAGCCCTGGTCAGTAAGTCCATTAATCAAGTACATAATGAATATAGTGCGAGTCACATACTTCATTTATCAAAATGTATGTAGATGGATTTGGTGTTCAAGATCGAGAAACTCGACAGCAAATCTTATCTTCCTTGGTTGAAACTCTTCCTCTCAAATGAGAGAAATAGTAAATAAATTAGTTCAAGTATTCAAAGAAAAACAAGTTATGTTAGAGTTAACTTTCTACTGCTACAAGAGAAAAGGTGTTTGTATGCCAATTCCTACAAGTGATTGCTTTATGGTTTGGGCTACTTTTCATTTTACTATTAGTACGTAATTGACTTGCGAACACTCAACACCTCTTTCCTTTAAAAATATAAAAGAGAGAACTGTAGTGATACAAAGTTAATCGTGAAATATTGAGAAAATTGGATCAATATATTCTTTTCTTTTTGTTGGTAGCATTGAAGATTATATTGATCGCTAATATGCATGGTAACATAATTCAAGGCTAATATATTCTTACATTGCCTAAACATTATGTGTTATCACCAATGACTTATTCGACTTGTTCCGTTGTGTACTATAATTTATTTCCCTCTATAAATAGTTGTTGCGACCAAATACACTCACACAAGTATACGTGGTCGTCAAGTAATAAAGTCAAACTCGTCAATTTAAACATCAAACGACAAAATTCATGTAGCATGACCCTAGAAGAATGAGTTTAGCCATGCATCTCATGGTAGCAATATCAGATAATTCCCAATAACACATAAAATTCAATAAAAGAAGGAAAATGTAAAAACTCAAGACGAATTTCGTAGTTTTCAAACTTTGTGATGGCTTTTCTCTGCTTTCCCGTGTGGTAGATGACCTAAAAGGGGCGTTTTTGGCTTATATATTGTGTACAAAAGTTGTGGGTCAAAGTTTTCTTTTTCCTAATACGACTCAAATTCAGGGATTGATGCTGGGGTGGATGCTTCGCATGCGCCTCAGCTTCAACTTCTCATCTCTGTTGTGTCAGGTGCGGATGCTAAGGCGGATGCCTTCTCCAGACTTCACTACCAAAGGTTCACCAAATATATTTTTTTCTAGGTTGGACGCGACGCATCCACCCTCTTCTTCTATAGATGGAGTACCTTTTCTTCATATTTTTTCGCTTCAAACATCCTAAATCATAACACACAACGTAATTAGTCATAAAATCAATAAATGTTGAGCATTTTAAAGATAAAATAGAACCAAAAAGCAAATAAAACATGAGTAAAGTAACATTATAACATATAGGAATATGCCCAATATCACCACCCCACACTTAAACTATTGTTCGTCCTCGAGAAAAGTATAATTAACCTACAACATATTGAAAAAAATTAAGCTTATCGCTATCAAGCCACACATTTCAATTAACTTCAAGCACCCATAACTTTGGTTGATACCAACAATTAGCCCCTTGCATATGCATTTTCTAACTTTCTTCTCCATATTATAAACAAGCCAAGAACAATAGTGAACAGTTCAAAATAATCAAATAGAAACTTCGGGACATCTCAACATCAAAAACTGACTCTCTAGCATAACTACTTTCAGGCCAACTTACTCACTCTGACCGAAGAGCTTAATAAAGTCACATATTCATCATGAAACATGTGCCCTCACTACAAAATGAAGTGAGATAGTCCACACACTCAAATAAAATTGAACGTAATTTAGGGACTTCAGACAATAGAAGAACTCACTCACTCTCTGAAAGAAGTTCACATGCACATAAACCCATATGCTTGCCCATTATGTAAATCTCTACTAATGTAGGCATGCTCAGTCTAAAATCAATTAGGGATTTATCATGGTTGTAATGTCAAGTAATCACTTCAAGCGCAACTTTCTTCAACCCCACTTCAATTTCACCACAATATCACCCCAAATATATCCCACTTTCTTTAAGTACTACTTCAAGTAATCTATATTCTTTTTTTCCACTAGTGGTGAATTATTTTACAAAATAAGTGCACCTTTCTCCCTTTCATTGGTTTCACTCAAAAGCAACCCAAATCCCCTACTTACTTCCTTTAGCACTTATTTCACAATTAAAGTGCCTTAAGAGGTACTTGGATCAAAAGTCTCAATTAAGAACAAAAGGGTATAAGCTTGTACTATGAGCACCAAATAAAAGGTCTGCAGGCTCAAATAGCTAACTAGAGATGCTTTTATTTGTGGTATATTAAAATTCAAAAGGATTAAAGAAGGCCTAAAATCATATTTCAAACCGAGCAAAACCTAGAATTTCGCTTCAACTCACATGCAGAGCAAGTTCTAGACACAAATGTACTACATGAATCTACATAAAATCTCACTACACAATGGCACATGATTCAATTAGGATGGCTACATTCCAACTTTCAATTAAAGCAAGTACAGAGTTAAGCCACAAATTTAATGCACAAGGCACAACAATTAGCACATGAGTCAAAAAAATGAGCCTAAGCGTTACAAAAACTATTCTTCAAACGACACGACTGATCTTGAATCTTCTCCCTTATGAAATGGCAATCAATTTCTATAGGTTTTGTTCTTTCATAGTGGATGGAATTTGCTGTAATTTGTAACGCAACTTTGTTATCACAATATTAGCTCCATAGGTTCTTTAATATCTACCATTAGCTCCTTCAGTAAACCGTTCAACCATGTCAACTCTGCCACTGTATGTGCCATACTTCTGTACCCGTCTTTAGCTAAGCTCCTCGAGATAGTAGTCTGCTTCTTTGCCTTCCATGAGATAAGAGAACTCCCCAACATGATATAGAAACCTGTAATTGACTTCCTATACATAGGACATGATCCGCAATCTGAATCACAATATCCCTGAACTCTTTCTGTACTATTTCTTGACATGAGAAGTCCAAGTCCACGCTTATCCTTGATGTATCGCATAAAATGTAGTGCAGCTTCATAATAAGACTTCTTGGAGCATACATAAATTGGCTTAGATATTGCACTACATATGTAATGTCAGGTCTTGTGATTGTCAAATACAGAAGCTTGCCAACCAGTCTTTGAAAAGAACTCCTGTCCTCCAAGACACTGTCATCAGTGTTCCCATTCACAATCTTATCAAATTTTGTGCTTGTAAGTTTCAAGTTCTGTTCCATTGGAGTCTTCTCGGGCTTTGAACCTGAGAGTCCTGCCTCTGAGATCATCTCCAGGGAATACTTTTTCTAAGTCATAATGATACCTTCTGCTGATCTAGCAATTTCAATTCCCATGAAGTATCTCAATTCTCCAAGATCTTTCAGTTTGAAGTTCTGATGTAAGGCTGCTTTTGATGTGTTAATCTACTCTTGATCATTTCCTATAACAAGTAAGTCATCTATATAGACAAGTACAAGAAGAAACTTTCCATTAGTTGTTTTAGTAAACAATGAGTAATTATGCCTGCTTTAATGAAAGCCAGACTTGAAAAATGTTTGTGTTAGCTTCAAATTCCATTGCCTAAAGGCTTGCTTCAAGCCATAATAGGAATTGAGTAGTATACACACCCTATACCCCCCCCCCCCCGGCTACCAAATCCTTGAGGCATAGTCATCTAAACTTTTTCATGTAAATCTCCATCTAAAAAGGCATTATGTACATCTATTTTGTAGATTGGCCATTTTCTAAGTGCAACAACTATTATAACAGTCCTCATTGTGGTCATTTTGGCCACATGTGAGAAGGTGTCATGAAAATCAATCCCCTCATATTGGGTGAGAAGGAGACCTAATATTACCATAGCTACCAGTCTGGCCTTAAACGTTTCTATTATTCCATCAGTATTGTATATGGACTTTTCTAGGAGGAAAATTTGCTACTTCCCAAGTGTTGTTTTGTTCTAAGCTTCAATATCAAGTTTCATAGCTTTGATCCACTTGTCATCTTATGCTCATGGAAAAATGAGGTTGGTTCAGTGTCAGAAGAAAAAGAATCTAGGTAGGATTGGAAAATATGAGAAAGATGAGAATAAGAAATGAATTGGTGTATAGGATAAAGAGATGAACCCGAGGATGCACATAGTCAGTAAGCCATATAGGAGGTTTAGAGATCCTACATGACTTCCTGACAAGTACTAGGATCGTACTTGTGTATGAATCTATATCATGAGTATCAAATGATGATTGAGCATGCAAAGAAGGAGCAGAAGAGGGAGAATGAGTAGGAGAGGAAGGAGAGTTAACAGGAGAATCAGAGAAAGTAGCAGGTGAGCCTGCTGGCTCATTGGAAAGGTCAAGTGTAGTGATTTCTGGTACAATATTGGTAGAAAGTTCTGGTTCTATGTTGGAAGAAGGAAAGATATTTGGGACTGGGTGACTTTGGATCAGGGATAACTAAGAATCTGTGTTTAGGGTGCCTGAAAGGAAACATCCCTTCTTTGAAGACAACATCCCTACTAATTATGAATTTGTTAGCAGAAATATCATATCCTTTTTATCCTTTTTGTGTTGGTGCATACCCCATGAAGAGCCCAAGAATAGATTTAGGACTAAACTTATCATGGAAAACAGTCTTTGTGGCATAGCAAACGCACCCCATTGTTCTCATGTGGCAAAAGAAGGTGGTTTTCTAGGGAACATCTCATAGGGAGATTTTCCTTGTAGAACAGAACTAGGAAGTCTATTAATGATGTAGGTTTCTATTAGAATGCAATCACCCCAGAATTTTAAGGGTATATTGGCTGGGAATCTTAAAGGTCTTCGTATTTCAAGAAGGTGTTTGTGCTTTCTCTCCACAACTCCATTCTATTGTGGAGCGTGCAGACAACTACTTTGGTGAAATATTCCTTTGGACTTGAAGAGATTAAAACAAAGAGTGTTGAAGAATTCAAGCCCATTGTCTGACCTCGCATATTTGACAGTACTACCAAATTGGTTTTCTACTAGTTGAAGAAAATCTTTCAAAACAACATACACATCACTCTTTATCACAAGAGAAAGGTCCATAGTATAGTCATCAACAAGAGTTAGGAAGTATTTGAAGTCATTATAAGTACATACTCAACAGGTTCCCCAAGCATTCATACGGACTAGTTCAAAAGAACAAACAAACTTAGAAGTACTAATGGGAAATGACAATCTAACTTGCCTAGCAAGAGGACAAACAAGACAATTGCAAGTAGATGGATTAGACAAGTACTTATTTATTTCAGGTATATTTAATAAGATTGTCATAGGGGCATGGTCCAGTCTTTGATGCCACGGAAAGCTTGAGCTTAGCTGATGTGAGACTATCATACAGTTGGAAGAAGAAGAGGTAGTAGCAGGTGCTGAATGATTGAAGATATAGAGGCCTTTTTTGAGTCTACCAATCCCATTCATCATGGCACTGGAGAGGTCCTGAAAGATACAAAAATCAGGATAATAGTGGACAGAACTATTTAACTCTTTAGTGTATTTGGAGATAGAGAACATGTTATATCTGAATTCAGGTACATAAAGCATGCCATGAATGGTTTCTGAGATAAATACATTGCAAGAACCAATGTTAGTTATTTTAATGCTATTACCTTTAGGCAAATATACTGAGGAAGATTTAGGCTCAAGTATTTGAGTGATACTTGATAAGAGATTCAAGGATGACACCGTATGATTTGAAGCACCGGAATTAATAATCCAACAGCTTTGTTCAGTTAGTGATTTACCTGCCATGCTAGCAACTTCTTGTCACAACCCAAACCTCATATGTCATGATGGCGCCTATCGCAATACTAGGCAAGCCGACAACCACAATAAATCATACATTATTTAAGTTTGAAAATATGATAAAATAAGTTTAAGAGTAAAATCTCATAAATACTAATACAAAAATATCGTGACTCAATACAATATTACCCCAAAATCCGGGTGTCACTGACTACATGAGCATCTATACAATAACATGGTCTGAAACACTCTAGGAAAATAGAAAAATATAATAAAAAATAGAAGATGAAGGATGAGAGTCAAGGTCCGTGGATGCCAAGGCAGCTACCTCAAAAATTTCTGAATTAATAAAGCTCCAAAACCATCAACCACCGTACCCAAAAGTACCTGGATAGGTACACAAAGTGCATAGTGTTGTATGAATACAACCGACACAATATACTCAATAAGTAACAAGACTAACCTTGGGCTGAAAGCAGTGACGAGCTCAACAGGTACAGTCCAAATATAGAAATAACAGTACAGAATGTAGACATGCTTTCAAGTTCAACAGTTAAGCTCAAACAGGTAAAATATGCCACGTGTAACTGAAATGAGGAATGATACATCTCGATATCTACATGCCAATTGTAATGCAGAACAATGATGAAATCATGTGCATACTCTCAGAGTAGAAATCACTCAGTCTTCCCATTCACTCAATTCTCACAGTTACTCAATCCTCACAGTCACTCAATCCTCACAGTCAGTCAATCCTCTGTGAGCACGTGATTTTTGCCGCACATGAATTACTCCTACAGAATTCCAAAAATTAGATTTTTCCTTTTAATTATTTGTTATTTTAGGAATTATTGTAGAATTCTTTTAATTATTTGCATTCCTTGCGTGCATGTTTAATTTTAGTTAATTCATGAAAAATACAAAAATACATTGCATTTTCATCTAGGATTTAATTTTAAATTTTTTTAGATTAACTAGTAAATTAGTTTGTTTTACAAAAATGAAAAAATCACAAAAAATAACTCATTTTTGCATTGTTAAATTTTAGCTTCGAATTTTGTAGTTTTCCTTTAATTAGGTAATTAATTAGTTGTTGTAAATATTATTTAAGTAATTAACCTAAGTTGGTAGTATAATTTGGGTTAGGAATTAATTTAGGTTTTATTTTTATTTTGTAAAAAGAAAAGGATGTGAAATTAAAAAGAAATTGAAAAGAAAAAGAAAAGGATTTAAGGAATAAGAATTTTGGGCTCTTTTAATTAATATCCCCAAGACCAATCAATTACACCCCTTAACCCGCTCAAAATCGGCCAAGAACCGCTCCCCTACCCGGTCTGCTTTTCTCTATGACCAAACGACACCGTTTAGGTCTTTTAATCTGAACTCTTGATCTCCCTTGATCGAACGACTTGGAACTGGTCCCTCTAAAGTATATAATTATAATAAAACCCCCTACCCCCCTCTAACTCGTCTCTCTCACTTCACCTCTCCTTCAGAGGCTACCTCAAAACCCTAACGCCGCCCTTCCATCCTCTCCAAAGTTCCTGGTGCCGCCGCCTCTAATCACCCCCAAATCTACACCATGAAACCACCATGGCTCCCTATCCCCAATCTTTAACTGGTTTCCCTCGAGTCTTTCCAAAATTCTTCGAATCTTAAATCGAAGTTCTGAAACATAAAATCCCAAAATTCCAAAATCAGCAAGTTTAGTGAAGGTTGAGGCTGAAATTGACCTTATTCGTGTGTTTTCGTTTGAGAACACACGATTAAGGCCCATTCCATTCAAAATTGAAAAGCTCGAGGGTTAGTTTCAAGATGTTGTCCGCCTGGTTCTTAGGTATTTTCCGCTCCTTTTTCTTTCTTGCATTTTTCTTCTTCTTTTTCATTTAAATTCATCTTCATCTTTTCTCTGTCTCTTCTTTTCTTCTTCTTTGTTATGTTTTCGTTTTTAATCATTATTCTGTTGTATAATTAGATTGAAAACAAATTTAGTTTATTTTGTTTTGGTTTTTATTATTTAGGTCTAATTAGTTCATTTTCCCTTTTTTTATTTTTGTTTCATTCTAAAAGGTTTTCTGGTTTACTCTGGTTAGCCCGTTAATTTGTGACCTTTGATTGTGATTCGATCTTGGGTTCTGAAATCAGAAGCCCAAGAAAGGGATTCAATCAGGGTCTTGCAAGCCCAAGTTTGGGTTGAACCATTGGGTCAAGTTAACCCATTTGGTTTCAGGGGTAAAAACAGGGGTCCTAAAGGTTAATTTAGGAATTATAGGTGGGGGAATCTTATGTAACTGAATGGGAAATTTTCCTAGAAGGTGGGTTTGGGACTACTCTTAAAAAGCTAATTTTAAACTAAGGGACTAAACATCAAAAATTAAAATTCCAAAAGGATAAAATAGCTAAAATAAAACTCATTTCTGTTGCCCTAAGGCTTGCCTCTAAAGGCATAGTTTCTTCTTTAGCAAGTCAGATTTGGAGAGATCGAAAAATAAAAAAGAATTGAAAATGGCTGAATCTTCTTCTAA